CAACAACAGTGAAATTTACAAGTGTGAATTTTAACAATCAAAGCGGAGAAATGAACAAAGGAGAAAGGAAGGAAGACAACGTGATAACACATAACAGCAGTACATTACACCTAGAACATTAACGGCCGAGCTTGGCCGCACTAAACACGACACGTTACTTGAACAATTTCCACCCAATTATACTATCTTTCTGTACACACAAATTAGGCTTGTACAGACGCTGATAGATAGCTTCCAACACTTTTAACTGTAGTCCATAACCATGACGACCACGGCACAATACAGTGAACGAAGAGTTGGAATACGCAACGCAACAATCAGGACTAGCCAGCAGATGATTGTACACTGAAGACTTGCTACCACGAAACCTACGCACAACACTAACACTCTCACCGGCACTCTCACCATCACTCCCATCACTGCTCTCCGATCCCACTGCCTCCTCCTGATCCTCCGCCATCGGTTCTTGCGGCGGTGGAGCTTGCCAGTGGCAGACCGCGAGCAACACTGACAGCTGCATTAACACTACAAATGCCGACTCAAAAAGACCCACCTTGCATATCAGTAACTCCCACACCAACACCAACAACGCAATCTACAGCAACCACAACTAATCCACCATCCAAGCCCATAATTGAAAGACCAAGACGATCAACAGCCAACTACAACAGAAGCTACGCACTCAGCGGACGAGGGCGAAAGGAGGGACGTGATAGCAGGGTTACGGCCGAGTTGAGTTCAATGGAGCCGGTCAGGCGGGATGGACGAGACAGAGAGAGAGTACAGAGGAAGCGGAGGATGGAACGGACGGCGGAGGGAGCAGTGAGTCGGAGAGCAGTGATGGGAGTGATGGTGAGAGTGCCGGTGAGAGTGTTAGTGTTGTGCGTAGGTTTCGTGGTAGCAAGTCTTCAGTGTACAATCATCTGCTGGCTAGTCCTGATTGTTGCGGTGCGTATTCCGACTCTTCGTTCACTGTATTGTGCCGTGGTCGTCATGGTTATGGACTACAGTTAAAAGTGTTGGAAGCTATCTATCAGCGTCTGTACAAGCCTAATTTGTGTGTGCAGAAAGATAGTATAATTGGGTTGAAATTGTTCAAGTAACGTGTCGTGTTTAGTGCGGCCAAGCTTGGCCGTTAATGTTCTAGGTGTAAAGTACTGCTGTTATGTGTTATCACGTTGTCTTTCCTTCCTTTCTCCTTTGTTCATTTCTCGCTTTGATTGTTAAAATTCACACTTGTAAATTTCACTGTTGTTGCTCTTAGTGTTATTTCTCTAACTTAGATTCCTTTTTGGTTAGAAATTTGTTGAAACACATCTGCTGAAGGACCTCAGCCTAGAAAAAGTTCAATATTCCTAGAGTAGACTTGGCCCCCAAGAACGTCCAGGCTGGAAATCTAAGAACGCCCCAGCCTGGATTTAAGAACGAACTCCAAGATTTCTAAGAACGTGACATTTTTGGTATTGCACCTTTCTGTAGCAGAATGGCAGAATGGTAATGCTACCGGCTTTCCGGAGACGTGATATTTGAGCGCCGGTTGGTTTTGCAAGCGGATTGAACCTTCATGATCTTGTCCGAGTACGTACACGAAAAACAAGTCCGCAACCACAAACTCTTGTCAGGTCCTCGCGAAAACATCACCCAGTGCAGCGCTACATACTACACGTGCATGTAAAGTGTACAACCGGTACATGTAGCGCAAAGTGCATTGTACATGAGCGTCACGGGTCATGTTGGACGCGTAAGAACGCGAAATAAGAACGTAGCCTGGGGCGCTGAAAAATAAGAACTTTGCTAGGCTGGCCCTCTGAAACCGCGTTCTTGGGCTACTGTATTCAAAACGGGTGTGTACACCAATTGAAAAGATGTACTCCAAATTGGTGCAATGTATGTATACGATGTATGTGTACAATGAATATTCAGCATTCTAAGTTGGGTAGGCAGCTTGAATACCTTTGAAATAGTGCAGTAAGCAGCTATAATGACAAAGAATAGCTGATGAGTGCGGAGAAATGATCGACATATTCGCAGCTGCACCCTGCGTGGAGTCGTTCCGCAATCTCGTCTTCCTTTTCATCCTCCACCGCTGAGGACACGACGTCGCTGCCGTCACTAGCCCCAGACTCAGAATTTATCTCCGGTGACGACTCCTCATCTTCCGACTCTCGACAAGTCATCGGCCACCTTGAGCCGCATCGCAGCAGGAGCCAAAGAACGCCGAGTCTCTGAACTTCAGCGGCTACTTCAGCATCCACTCCCCACCAGGCTCGAGCTAGCTGTACACCATGACTGCCGTGTGTGCTCTGCGAACAGCTCTGGCGTCCGCAGCCATCACAACAAGATCAAGGAACACTGAAGTCGACACTCGACACCACTACTTCAACATATATTACTTCAAGCAAGGAGTTCAGCGCGATCGAAAAATTCATTGAACGTCACAAATCGACCTTTTTCTCGAAAAAAATTACGAAACCTCTAAGGGTCGTTTTCGCTGACTGCGGCTCATATATGTTCTTTTATATGCACATTTATGCTGACCTTTCATACAAACTTCCAGTCAACTTGCCCATCATGCTGGCGGCCTATACTGGGTATATAAACCTCATACAAACCCCATACAAACCCCATATAGACCGCCACCATAGAAACAGGCAGAAGTTGACTGTCAGTTTGTATGAAGGTCAGCATAAGTATAATACATCCCACTAGTACGCTTGTGCGTGAAATATAAACTATCATACAAACCCCCGGCTTCGCCTCGGTTTGTATGTCGGTTTATATTTCACGTACAAGCGTACTGTTCGGTTGTATTATAATTATACGTATACAGCAGACGTGTTGAAAGATCAAACTGCATGAGTGTGATACATTGTCTGGATAATACTTCAAGTAGTACTCTCGGATTACAAGCATTTGAAGCCAGCTAACCCATAATCAGTACAAAGATAACCAAGGATTACTTCGAAGTGTATTCGTTGTTTCCTGTACTTGGACTCTAACCCAGGGTTTTGTTTGTGGCCAAAACACTGTTTTTTCATCATACCGGTGCAAGTATTTTTTACACATTTTGATTTTGAATCCGTGTGACTAAACAGAACCTTCTGAACGTTAGTTCACAGCTAAGGCTTTACCTGAATTGCCCACGTTCAAGTATTCGACTGAGACTCTGATTTAGCCTGTTACAAGTATACATTGGCGCGCCTGGTTGTGATGAAGCCGAGACCCAAGGTCGGCAGAGCATCCCAGACCACGCCACCACTCCCCTTATTCATGGCTCACACATGACGGGTTTACGTGGCTCTAGTAAAAAAACCCAAAAAAAACAAAAAAAACATTATTGTCTAAAGTTGAGAGAAATTGAGTGTAGATGAGTATCTGTGGGTCCCTATAACGGGTCTGCTCCCTATAGCAGGGCCGGTTTGACCAAAAAAGGAAGTCATGAAAGTGCACACATGACGTCTTGACTGGGTCTTCTGTGTGCAAGGGGTCCATGACCTTGTATGACGGAAATGGAAGAACCAGGAAATCCTTCATGACCCCATGACCTCGGGACTCACTTTTGCACCCACACAAAAGCAGGCAACGGAAGGAACTATTGATCTTGTCAAAGAGACGAGGGATGGGTTATTGGGTCCGGCGGATTCTGCCGGCAGAAAAATTGCCAGAATTCGGTACTTTTTCTGGTAAGTGTCGTGCATGTTTGGCATGTGGATAAAGAAATGGAGCAGAATTCGAGGAATTGCCCGCCAAAAGGTTTGTATGGTTCTGCCAATTTCACTGCTTTTCGAGCAGAATCTGCCACCTCTTCGAGCAGAATCCGCCGGTCCCTAATGGGTTGTACCAAGAGTACATAAACACTGTTTATGTACTCTTGGTTATACTGAAGCAAAGGTGGACGAACAGGGGGGGGGGGGCATGATGGAGGTGGAGGGCAGTGGAATTGCAGTAGTGAAAACGATCAGGGTAAAATCAAAGACAAGAGATCGAAATGCAGAAATGTTTTGGGCAGGCCTAGATGAGTGTATACTAGTTTGCAAGGCAAGAGCTCTGAACAAAGCATGGGTAGTAGTAGTAGTAGTAGTTGAAATTTGTGTATCAAATGTGCCCTGCTTTTTTCTTTGCTCTTTTCTCTTTCGTACTTGACTTGTGTTTGTAGAAAGTTTCACTGAACAGAATCCGCCGGAAAGCTAACCAGCAATCTCCACTGGTTGTTCGACTTCTGGGTCACCCTGGCGGAGGAAAGTCATCCCTTCTGGAATCGATTCTACGCCGTCGCCGTTTCTTAGGCAAAGTCGTGAATTTCTTCCGCGGTGACCAATGCGATACGATACTGGCCTCCAGGACACGAGGTATGCAACGTTACGTGGATACCTACGGTACGATATACCTCGACCTTGGAGGTCAGTATCGATTCATGTCACAACATCAGCGACTGACGAAATTTTCCGACGTCTGGGCTCTCAATCTGCTCACGGTGTCGGGAATGGAGCCCATCGTGAACATGAGACGCTGGATCCGCACCTGGGCAGATTTTATTGCCTGCAGTTGCGCAGAGGGCACAACCACTCGCAACAAAGCTCTTATTGTTGTGACACGCCGGGACCGACTCTCCAAGGAGCAAATGACCGCCATTGAGAAGGAGTGTGCAACGCTGCAGAACATCTTAGGCGTGCATCTGGAATTCCTGGATGAACCGATCCCATTCGTCAATGCCATCAGCGCGACATGTGAAGGTGTGGCTGCATTGAGAGAATTGATCCAACGACACAAGGAAAAGGTGCAACAAGTAAGTTTGACCACGTTCAACAATCATAATCATCAACGGAACCTGTTGTTTTATGTGGTGTTGGCTTTCGTCTATCATTTTAAACAGTTTGATGCTTTGCAAGTCTAACCCTGATCCCTCGCCTCAACAAACACCCCTCCCCAACTCTCCTTACCCCACCTCTCCCACTCTCTCTCACTCTCTCCTCCCTCTCTCTCTCTCACCTTTCTCAAAGTGTTTTCATCTTGTTTCCAATGCCATGTTCTCAATAGGCATCTGGACCTGATTCGGAAGTTGTTGCGTCCATTTCGGAGGCACACCTGGAGAATGTTCGTGATCAATGCAGAGACAGTCCTGCTATCAGCACCGACCAGTTTATGGAATTCCTGGCTGGAGCAATTGCTCGCTTTGATTACAACTGCGGTGACTCTTCAATACCAGTTGAAGCGCTGAAGGAAGTCCTGGATGTCAACATGGAGCTGTTCAACCTCCATCAGAAAGCGCTGGTAAGTAACTTTGCTGCTCCCAGTACTTTCTTCTTAAGTTTGAGAAATCCTTTTGGAACCCGCAATATTCTGCCCGACGTGTAATGTCCAGGGTGCAACAAAATCGTGTTGAAGTACTACCGTATTTCCCCGTAAGTTAGTTCTCCCCAATGACTTAGTACCCTCCTATAAAATATACACTTTCCACTGCCGAGGTTATTACCCCGAAAGACAGTCCCCCCGAAAGATAGTAAGCTCGTACCCGTCCTACATGTACAGACACCGTACAGTACATACATCATATGCACGGACACTAGAGTTGCGCAGGCTTCCCACTGCGTGTCATTTACCCCCGATGAAAAAGTACTCCCCGAAAGATAGTACCACCCCCGAAAGTTAGTACTCATGTGGCTGCTAAGTTCGAAAGTTAGTACGTACTAACTTACGGGGACATACGGTAATAGCCTATGGTCATAATCAGTGTCAGTTGGGGCAGCTTCAAAGAGTATTCTACGCAAGTGAGGGAAGAGCAATTTACAGATATACAAGAAAACACAGGGAACGGTAGGCTGTTTTGTACAGGGACATTATCAGGCAGCAATAGGCTATCATCACTTGATCTGTTTCATTCAGATCGTGTCCACTATCGTTGCTGTAAGAGCAAATCTGTACATGCATATCAAGTGCATTTGCAGATTTTTGTGTTTCTCTTGCAATGGGTGTACATGTATACATGGTACATGAAACATGGTATGTATTTGCCACATTTGCCAGAGTATAATGCGCACCAACTCCTTTGACCAACGTGTTGGCAATTCAAGGTATATTCGCAGTATGATGGGCAGCCTAGATTTGAGGAAATTATCGATTTTAAAACGAAGTAGTGGTAGCGACTTTGGCAATGATTTGTTTGGAAAGGGTTTGCTCCCACTCTGGAGATCGCGCTTTTCCGCCGACTTGACTTGACACTTGACTGATTTACTACTACCATCCAGTGCACACGAAAAGTCCATTGAACCTTCCAGTATCTATTAAGACTATTATAAAGACAGTATCACAGAATCTTCACTAGTTGAGGTAATGGATAACAGCATTATAGAGGGACCATTAGCAAAATTATCACAGCATTATTTCGTGTAGCTTTTTCTAATGCATGAGCTACTTATGGGGTCTCGTACCCATCATGCATGTGCAGTTTAGCTGACAGTAGACATCATTATATGTATGAATATGGCTTGCCCCGGGTCAGCGGTGGCAAACTTCGAAAGCATTGCTGCATTGTTGCAATGCACCAATTTTCGAAGTTCGTGCATTCTCATAGTGCACACCTGCGATTTGGGGCCTGAAATAGCTCATCTAAAGTGTGGCTCCAGCATGTGTGATTGTGTGAATGTCACTATATTATGTGTGTATGTGTGCATGTATGCATGTGTGTATGTGTGCATATGTGTATGTGTGTACGTGTACATGTATGTACGTGGGGTATCTATGTGTATTCACTACAGGTGTTCTATTTTCCGGATGCCAAGCTGGTGGTCGTTCAACCTCTATGGTTGATGAGTGACATCACAGGAAAATTCTATTCGCCAAAGTCATTTCCTCCACCGATAATTACCTGTGATGAGTTTGGATTCGCTTCGCACAGCCATGTCATTGAAGTACTGGCCAAAGATTCGCCGGTGCGTGGTGAAGACGCTCTCGACATTGCCGTACGCCTAGGTATGTGCCATGTAACCGAGGATGGTGAGCAAGTCATGATTCTTCCTGCACAGGCTGAATCACGCACTAGTCTGCACTGGGAGAAAGCCAACCCCGACCAGCACATCTACTACACTGGTCGCCGTCTCTACTGTAAGTCTGGTGTCGCTATCAGCGCAGCGTTGATGCCCACCATACAAATGTCACTCGTCAACTCCTTCACCAACAGGACACGCAGGTTTCCTGTCTGGCAGGGAGGTGTTCGTGTTTCGCTACCTCAGTACGTGAACACGGACACACTGGTGGAGATCCCACACGGTCAACTCGCGCTCAACATCATAACCAGAGGGCCCGACCAGCGTAGCGTGACTACTCAGCAGGAAACTATCTGGGACCACATCTCTGCTCTTCCTCGCCAACAATCTCCTGGTTCTGACATGTCAACGGCGTTCGTCGATGATGGGTGCCTGCCGAGTAGCAATCTTCTGCGACAGCGGGATCAGCAAGGAGACCTGGATGCTACCATGGAGTTCCTTTCCAGTGAGCGACTACGTGCTCAGTTTGTCATGCCTGATGAGCGGGTGCCCGACGCAAGAAAATATCATCCGTATGCTGTGTCTGCAAGCTGCTGTAATGCAGGTCAGTGGCACTGTGTGTCATGCCTTGGTATGGGCGTGTGTGTGTGTGTGTGTGTGTGTGTGTGTGTGTGTCTGTGTGTGTGTGTGCGTGCGTGAGTGTGTGCGTGTGTGTGTGGGGGGGGGGTTGATTGACTGGCCAGAGAACCAGGTAAAATTAGTGAGGGTCAATTCATCATCTTTGCAACCTGTTGAATGGTGTTATCCCAGCGTAAGTTGCTATGTATAACATAGCTGTTCGCTATCATCGCTTCCGCGATGGGCAAGTCTGAGGTCCGAGGTCTGAGGTGTGTATGTTTGTGTGTATGTGTGTGTATGTTTGTGTGTATGTGTGTGTATGTTTGTGTGTATGTGTGTGTATGTTTGTGTGTGGGTGGTTGTGACTGTTTCTCTGCATGTCTATTTGTCTCTCTGTTTGTCTGTATAGTCATATGAAATGACGTGGATAAAGTCTTTTTTAAAGGTTTTATAGTAAAGAAGAAAGGATCAATAAACTACAAGTTATGCTATAATGTCCACTAACACCAGCAGCTACTAAACAATCAGCTCATGCGATAACATTGCACGACACTGACCCACGGTACTGACGTTCTACAACTAACTGGCTAACAGCTCTAGCACATCTTGGCTCTCCATCCGAGTCCATTAAAGGTTTTATGACAACATTTTGGTCATAGCCCGGATTGTATTTTGTTCCACTCGTATTTCCTTGTGTAGGTACGGTTGAGGAACGTCGCAGAGCCGCTCGTCTCTGCTCAGCCTTCTATCAGCATCGCATTCTTCTACGCCCCGACTTTCCACTGCACGACTGTCTTCTCAGACTGATAGAATGTGGACAGGTGAATATATCCTTCCTGGACGACGTGGACGAATGTCTGAGGAACTGCCAGACCAAGATGGCTACTGATCTGTTTCGTGGGTCGATTTCCGACTTGCCTGACAGTGTGGTGCTAACCCTAGTGGATGAAATCCTTCCCAAGATAGCCAGTGCCAAAGATCTGTATCAGGCAATGCTGGAGTGTCCAGGTCGGGTCCTCTGTACTGTCTGCCCTAGTGATATCCACTCCACGACTGGTAGGTGGTTGTCTTGCATTGATACATGTACTCGTGTTGTGTGTGCATGTGTGGGTCCGCGCACGCATGTGTGTGTGTGCATGCTGCGTATGTGTACCTCATTTTCCAGAGTATAAGGGGCACTCTAAACAACAGCAATCCACCCAAAACAAAATCTGTTTGGCTTATACAACGATGGCCAAATTGATGGTGATAATTAATGGGGTTGATTGGAGGTATTTTGTGACAAAAGGTTGCCATGCAGTTTATACTCCAGTGTGGCATACTCCAGAAAATACAGTATGCCTGTATTTCTGTACGCAGGCGTGGCTGGGTGTGCGTGGGTGGGGGTACGTGGGTGGAGGTGCGTGGGCGGGGTGCGTGAGTGGATATAGAGATGGATGTGGATGTGTGTTGGTGCATAGCTGTATAGTCGCAAGTCTGCCTTTTAACTGCTGTTTTGCCTGGTCCAGGGGATCTGATCTGAATCCGGATTGGCTAGTCAAACAAGCCACCTGGTGTGCATGTCTGAAGCATGTGTTCTTTGTTTACTGGCAATCCTGTGTGGTTACAGTAGTGATGGATGATGATGTAATGCCAGTGAGTGATGATGTCATTTCTTCTGACCATGAACTCATCCCTCTTACCACGGTAAAGCGGTAAAGTTGTGCGGTCTTGAAACTTTCTTGTTTTGAAAGAATTGCACTGGTTCACAAAGGGAGACGTCTAGGATTCCATCTCCACAATTGAATAGTGTAGTACCCAAAACCCATGCACATACGCTCACAGTCTGATTTACAGTGATTTACGTGTGTGTGTGTGTGTGTGTGTGTGTGTGTGTGTGTGTGTGTGTGTGTGTGTGTGTGTGTGTGTGTGTGTGTATGTGTGTGTGTGTGTGTGTATGTGTGTGTGTGTGTGTGTGTATGTGTGTGTGTGTGTGTGTATGTGTGTGTGTGTGTGCGTGTGTGTGTGTGTGTGTGTGTGTGTGTGTGTGTGTGTGTGTGTGTGTGTGTGTGTGTGTGTGTGTGCGTGTGGGTGTGCGTGCCTGCTTGCATGTGTGCGTGCGCGTGCGTGTGCTGGTAGTGAAACTAGCAAAATGTAATCTCTAGTGAGAGGTTTTCACCTGACAGTACATGTGTGTGGTTTCATGCTGTGCCAATCTGACTGCAGCTGCTTCTGATGACGTCGCCAGACCAGCAACTGAGGAGTACAGTACGTTTTTCCTGTCTTATTTTCTATAGGATATTTCATTATTCTTGGTGTGACTGTGCTCTGGATATGACCCATATCAAGATGCAATTATGCTCTGTTGCTCTGTGGTTCTCTATGCAGATAGCAGTAGATTGGTATATTTGCCTGGATTGTGCTCTGTGCTGTATTCCCCTAGATCCCTGGGACCATCCAGATTTCTGCCTGGACAAGTACCGAAGATGGATAATCTCACTGAACTCCAGAGCGTTCCGCGACAAAGCCATAGCACGGATGCTTCTTGCAGACAACCTGGATATCAGGCACTTCATTGAGCTAGAGAGACGTGAGGGCTCAAATGTACACAACGAGCAACTGCTGCAGCACATGCAGGGGTCTGGGCGTGCATCGTTCATCATCTTCTTGGACATCATCACAGACATGAACTCACTCTTCGCATTCAAGCGTACTGAGTTTGAGGCTCTCCTTGATCGGCCATGATGCCTCTGTTGTCATGACTACCCAGGTATGCCAAATGCATTATAACTGGACTTTGCTTTGAGTTCCGAGTGCGATTCATCCCGTATTGCTCTACAGTCAGACTTCACATAACCGCACACATCCGTTTTCCACACAAATATCCGGATAGGCGAGGGAACCGGAAAATCGAACACACATACTGTATGTATGCATGGGATATGCAGTAAATCGGTAACCAGCGATTTTCTTCCGGATGGCGAAGGATCCGGATAAAAGAGGACCGGATAAGCGAGGTCTGACTGCATGTCTACTGTAGTGGACAATCATGGAAATCCAGTCGGAGGTCAAGCGGCACCATGACAGCCGCTAGTACATGTGCACTGCTATCAAGACGTGCACTGCATGCACACAACTTTCTGTACGCACTGAGGGTGGCGGCCCCCGTCATTTCACTGGATTTCCATGTCAATGACGGTATATACGGAATGTATGGCTCGTACTACAAGCTGAGCTGCTATGTACATGTATTTGCACAAAGTGCTCGATATCGCCAGGGCAGGGACAAATCACTCATGTCATGCCTTAAGCTATGCACCAGATGTTACGTTTTTAGCTGGTTTGAATCTCATGTTATGTTCGGAAAAAAGTTTTAAAAAAGGAAAGAAAAAAGCAGAAAAGAAGCTAAGACCATAGCGTGAAACGGGACAGCTGCCTAGCTCAGGGCCCTCACTATACTTCGTTTTTACCTACGTCCTCATGCATGTTATTCGAACCTCTAGGATCACCTAGGCAATACGGTTATCGGATACATGTGGCTCGCTGCGGGCTAATAACCCCAAGCACTGCTCAACCAAACCAGCCATCACAAAGTTCTGAGCATAAAATTGCTCTGGACGGGGAAGCCATTCACAGCACTTCACGTTCCAAACACCGGCATCGTCTCCCTGGACATTGCGGCTCCCTAACTTACTGACAATCAAACACCTTTGAAATACCACACCTCCAGATTGTGTCTTTCTTGCGTTGGTCCAATACAGGCGATGTTTCTCTGGGATCTTTCGCTACTGCTGACTTCCAGTTGTCCATTAGACGTGTATCGATCGTCTCCACTTGGACTTACCCTGTGAAGTATAGGTCGAGGATGGATTGATGATAAGCTGATGTATTATGATTTTCTGCATGTGGTTTATAGCCGCGTTTCAACAGACGTTTCTCCAGCTCGTTCTCTTGAAATGGTTTAACTGTCCTTGATCTCTTCCTGATGAGGAAGTATTTCTGGCAACATGTATTCTGTTTTCTCTGGCAAGTGCCACAGTTGTGCATTGCTGTTCACTGTCCACCAGTTCATGATGATGATGATGATGATGATGTTATGTCCACAGTGATGATGTCATTCACTAATCCATGCTTTCATGCCCATAAGATGATGTAATGCCCCATAGTGATGATGTCATGCCCACATCGTTGAGCAATGTACACTGCTTATCTATTTTACTCTATTCAAATCCCAATTGGAGCTCTACATTTTGTATTCACTCACTCTTGTCTTGTATTACCAGCTCAGTCCACTGGACAGTGAGCACTCTGAACAGCCTGATGATGCACTCATGCACATAGACATTTGTACTTATACCTATGCATGTTTTCTTGGTGAGGACCGCTTCCATTGTGTACTTATACCTATGTATTTAGCACATAGACACCTGTACTTCCACACATGTATTTTACATACCTAGTAGTGTTTCATCCCTCCGCCCTTCTGTTGATTCCCTACTATCCCCCTTGGCCGCTGATGAGCCCTGGGATTGATATTCTACCGGTATGTCGCTGACAGTTGATTTTATATTATTGGCCGAGTGAATGCTGGAGAGCCAGTCTGTATCTTCTGTTAGCTCTGTCAAATAGTCATTGCCTTTACCACATTCTCCTGGACTAATGTAGTGCCGGCCCAAATGAAATCATCCTGTCGTGGGAGTCAAGTTTGCACCCTGCTCCAGTGAATATACCAACGGTTGGCAGGTCTGGCTAGGGTTGCAAGGCACCTGACATGACATTGGCTAGCTTGATGGGATCCGGTTCATTGATCAACACTTTACTTGTACATGTAGCTCAATCATGCGTGTAGCCTGGGGGGTCTCGGCATGAAAATACAATGATATGAACGTGGTCACTTTAAGGAGGCTCCGAACAGTTGCGCAGCGCAGTGTAAAAAGGGCACCTCCGAAATCTGTTTTTTGCCGCGAGATTCAAAAAATGTTGTGTTCCATGCGCATGCGGAAACAAGCTGTTGTTCAGAAAGAAGTTTTTTGATTTCTCTGTGCTCGCAGTTGTTCCAGGATGTAGTTCTACTCGTTGCAGGTTTCTGTAGCCGTGGCTGTTTCTACGCTGGAAAGAATCACTGGCCATGGCTAATGCAAAACAAAAGCAGTTCCTACGCTGCTTGATTTTTTTGTGAAAACTTTGTTGAAGCGGTACGATGTGGCCACGAAGAACAAATAATATTATTACTGACGAAGAAGGGTGAGAAAAGCAGGTTGAAGTCAGTGAAGACATCGATGTCGAACATAGTGATACTAGTACTGGTACTGGAATTTAGCATGGACTACCTGTGGAGCGTGAAGTGGCTGCCCACTCGCTGGTAAGTGGACCCACTTGCAGCTCCAGTCGCACGAGTACCGTTTGAAACTTTCTGTGGATCCTAGAGTATCCTGAGCTCAGTGGACGACGCATCTCAGAGCTGCTGAACTTGGGCTACTGTCCCTGTAGGAATGAGGTTCGTGTCAACCACTGTACTGCACTGATGGTGTAAGGAAAACGCTGGCCAGAAGCTTGTGTTCTGAACCAGGGACGAACTTCTAAATCCTGCTTTTGTAGAAATAGGGATGCCACAACTAAGATGTGCACACTCAGGTGTGTATTGGGTAAATGCCTGTGGTTGATTATTTTGAATCCTTTCCTATGCGCAAGTACATGCGTTTGTGTGTGTGTGTGTGTACGCGCGCGTGTGTGTGTGTACGCGTGCGCGTGTGTGTGTACGCGCCCGCGCGCGAGAGAGAGTGTGTGTGTGTGTACGTGCGCGCATGCGCGTGCGTGTGTATGTGTGTGTGCAAGCTGTTGAAAGGTGTAATCCGAGCACAAGTTGCTATGTCTAAAGTAGTTTGTTCGCTATCCTCGCTTCAGCGTTGGGCAGGTGTATGAGTGTGTGTGTACGCACGTGTGTGTGTGCGCGCGTGCTCGTGCCCGCATGTGTGGGTTCGCACGCAATGTTGATCTGGGTTATGCACATGTCCCCACGAGTGCACTGTGTGCATGTGCATGCAAATGTCTGTGTACATGTATGTGTGTATGCACGTGAATGTGTGCGCGCGTGTGCAAAGCTAGGTGTGGAAGGGGGGGGGGGGGGGAGGGGCTCACGGTGCTGGTTCTGTATGCCTCTCCTCTCTGGTGTCCGCAAGGACAGTGTGGTAATGGCTTTACAGTACAGGAGTTGCATGTGAATGCGCATTTGTGAACCGTATTTGAGACACAAAAAGAATTGCCGAAAGAGCATGACAGTACACTACATGTAATTGTATATCGTATGTGTGCACGCCAGCGTGTGTAGATGCATATTGCCCTTCATGCGATGTTTTTCTGGAGTCTGCTGCTATCAACGCAAGTGACAACCAGCAAATGCATGCCCAGTGCAGTGGCTGGTCTTCATGCTTTTAGTTACACCAAGTCCTACTATGGACTAGTAGTGTTACAATGACGCGTGCACGAGAGTGCGTGCATGTGGGTGGGTATTTATGTGCGTGCGCACGCGCGTGAGTGTTTAGTGTGCCTTATTTTGAATGCCTGCTTTCACATTATTCATGTGCCAGTTTCATGGTCGAGGTTGTTATGAAACCTCGCTGCCTTACATGTACATGTCCAGTACTCGTATATCAATGTGCTAGGACTGAAGGCTACATGACATACATGTAATGATACATGTACCTTTCCAAGCACAGACTGTCTGGTATGTCCAAAGGAGGTTGCAGCATGAAAATAACTTCCTCTAAAATAATATTACCATACTACCATGTCATTGGTAGTGATATTTAGTCAAGAAGGCAAGAATGGTCAGATTTTCTAAAAATGCTATTTTCAGAATTGGCCTAAAAATACCATATTTCGATACCTATATTGTTTGGTAGGGGCCTAAAGTGCCTGGTGACACCATCAAAACTGTCCATTATCGGTTTCCTTGGGGCTCAAGGATCACAGAAAGCCACAAAAATCAATATGTCCATGGACAAAATGTTGCAGGCTGAACCATTTCACAATTCAGCACCTGATGGAAATTTCGGTTCCCGTAATTTCGAAAAAGTGGCTCGCCAAGGGCAAAACCAAGACACAGTCTATCTTGTGTAGCCAAAATACCTCCAAATGTGGTATGATGAAGAAAATGCTTAGTATCCTCCTTCCAGGAGGCTTCTTTGGGTCAAAAACCAAATTTTTTTACCATTTTTTTGCCGAAAATCAAGAAATTGTACACTCACTAAATACACCAGAATACCTCTTATATGCCTGGTGACCCTACCTAAAAACTATACCAAATTGAAGAAGAGACATCACTCCACCATTCTATGCATAAAAAACAGGGTGTCCATGGACCTTTTATTTTTACTTCTTTAGGTGGGAGCCTCCTAGAATTCGATATTAACTTGAAGCAACTTGGAAGAATGGGTATGAATGCGAAGTGTATGGGGGAATGCATGTAGGGCGATAGTGCTGGTTCGAATCCCAGGATATGCCTGAAAAAATAGGAGAATTGAAAAATTTATAACATCATATGCGTTTTTGCCGTCAGATACGGATAGCGCCAGGCGTGACACAAACAAACAAACAAACAAACACACACAGAAATACCAAATTAAAGCTGTGTGGACCCTGGCTAGCGCCAGACGTTACTGAAGTAACGTCTTCTGCATAGCTACGGGAATTAAAGCTGTGTGGACCCTGGCTAGCGCCAGACGTTGGACATGGAAATCCGGTCGCACGTCTAGCGGCCCCAGGGCGCTGGCCATGCAGCCATGGCATGCATGCGCTGCTGCATGCTGCTGGTCGCATCGTATCAACAATTTAGAAAAGCGATCCTGTCAGCTTTTCTATTATTGTGTTCACATGGCGCTACCTAACGACACCGCTATTCAGACACGTTGTCTACGTAGCTACGTAAGTTTCTACGTAAGATGCTCGGTACCTGGTCCTGGACCAGGGCCGGGAGCTACATGGCTCCAACTATCGCGCGGCCGGCTGGCCGCATGCGTGTGCATTGCAGACTTTTTGTTGTTGCCTTTTCGGATGTGCATGCACGAGGAACTTCCTTCTTTGGAACTGCTTCTTGCATGAGCTGTTTCGGATATTTCGTCTTCTGGCCTGGCTTATTTCGTTTCGGCGCTGCTGAGACCTCCTTTCGCGGAATATTACTCAATGACAGGTGAGTTGACCAGTTCCCTTTGATTCATTTGCTTGTGTTGACTCTTTCATTTACGAAAAGTGTGCTGATTTTGGGCGGAATGCAATAAATAATGGAAAAGCTGACAGGATCTCCTTTCTAAATTTAGCTTTTCCGCTGCCTAGGCCTCCTTTTACGGAATACTCAATGACAGGTGATCTCTGAGTTGACCAGTTTCCTTCGATTCATTTGCTTATGCTCACCCTTTCATTTACGGAAACGTGTGCTGATTTCTCTTTGCCCTTGCCTACAGTGTGCGAAGAACGCGAGTTCACCTTCTTGACGGTAAGGCTTATGTTAGATGTGTTGTCGAAATACTCATATTCATTGCACATTAGTACGTTACAAGTAAGGCACTGGTCAGTGGCATACTATCGTTGGCAGTTCCCAATCTGGAGGGAAAGGTTCAAGGACTCATTGACCGAGTTTGCCAAAAAAATTCGCATATCAGGGAAAATCTCCATTGTGGAGAGGTTCAGTAACTTGTTTGCTTCATACGAAGCAAGCCAATGGGTGCAGTCGCGTCTCGTGAAAATCTCGTACTTGTATGATTGGATTTGTTTACTCGAGTCTGGGCTGTTTGATTTGTGAGTACCGCCGAGATTGCACTGCCCCAAATAAAGTTTCGTGCCGCCAAAGCAAGAATTACGATCTGCAATCTGTTTGTAGTACCTGCAAGAATGTGCAGTACAGTTGCAGTACATGTATCGTACTTTCTCTGTTGCTGTTTCAGTTGCCGTCATGTTGCTAAAGAAAGGTTCAGTAGAGAGGTTCTGCAAAACGAAAATTCGAAAGAAGTTTCGCGACAGTCCTTGCGAAAGTGTGTACGAATTTTTGCACGAACTTTGCGTTCTGCACATTTTCGTAGTTTGCGCGGGCCAAGTGCACGTACGCCATGACCCGATCTCACGAAATTTCCTACGACAGTTCATTTCGCGTTCCCTGCAAGTTTTGCGTCCAAAGTTGCGAAAGTTGGTGCGAAGTTTCGCACTTCATGATGTAGAGCGAAAGTTTGTACGCATTTTCATTTTGCAGAACCTCTCTAGTGACTCTTTTGTTTCATACGAGACGAGTCAATGAGTCCGTGTGGCTTAGAATCTTTCGCTGTAGAAGAAATCTATTCGTATGTCTATTGGAGAAATAATTGTATTCACTGGTTATAAAATTGGCTAAGACAAACTCACAGAATAAATACCATCGGTCCCTTGGTGTTCGTCCTAAAGAGGTTCGACTGGATATCATTCATACTCACCAAAAGATGTGTAAGATTTTATTATCATGGAGTGCCTTGTTTATCTCTCAGTATCAGTACCTCCAACCATAGCCTTGACCCTTTTATCCTCATGATCAGTGTAGTTGTTGGAACGAGGTGTCGGACTCAGCAATGTATTTGTTTACATTTTAATACATGTTTATTGTTCCTCCTTTGCTGTGTTGTTT